TTGCATCAGCTGCCTGGTCCACAGTGCCACCGTGTGGGAGCCTCTGGGGGCCTTCCTTCAAAGCCAGGCTCGCCTGTCTCCTCGCTTGGCTTCCTTCATGTTCCAGGCTGTTGCTTTGTTGGAGGATCCCTGTGGTTTCCTGCCGTGGTGGTTTTATCCCACTGCCAACCCCCGAGCTCCTGCCATGGCCTGTGAGCCGAGTCCAGGACAGACCTGTAGCCACAGGACCTCCACCCCCAGCAGCTGCAGCAGTCACGAGGCCCAAACCAAGAAGAACACACTATTTTTTTATTTCAGAGTGTGTTTGATAGTTTTAACTCCCAGTCTGAACCAATACAAATTTTTCCTGGGGATCCTTAGATTTCCCTTCCATGGGCCCTGCGTTATTTCTTCACCCAAGTTGGGTTTTTTTGCAGAGAGCTTGTAGGCAGTTAATGGTTTTTAAGAGGATTGGGTATGGGTAGGTGCTGCACCCCTAACTAAGCTTAAAGCTGCTTTGTGAGGAGCGTTGCTGCCCGGGCACCGCATCTGCGACACCCCACCCGCCTCCCAAGGGGCCTAATTGCCCATTGTGGCCACTTGCAGACGAAGGGATTTCCCACCCCAGTGGGCACAATGGGCCACAGTGCCTGGCACTCCTCTTCCCTGGCACCCAGGGGGGGGATTATGCAAATGCAGGGAGCCCAACCAACGGCTTCCCCGGCGCCTCGGCGGCCGCCGGTGGCCTCCAAATGGTTGCCACACAAAGGGGAGGGGGCTCCCAGTGGGCTGGTGATAATGAGGCTCTCGTGGAGATGGGGAAATGAACGTGGTTGAGGCTGAGCCTTGGCCTCTGAGGTGGGAGGAGGGGGCGTCGGGGTCTCCCCGCAGCACAAAGCTCCCTCCTGCTGCCTCGGCCGCAGCCACCTCGTTACTTTGGGATCCTTCTCCTGAATTTGGGTCACTCTTTGAGCGCTGGGTTTTCTCAGTTCGAGCCCTTCCTGCTCTGCCCTCTCCCAGGGGGAGGTGCGTTGGATGAGGGTTGGCTCGGAGCCACGGGAAGGGAATTTCTGGCAAATCCAGGAATGTTTCCCACCCTTACGTACACTGGGCTTTTTGTTGGTTTGTCCTTGACTAGGGAGGGAAGGAGGAGGGTCGAGAGGCAGGATCAATGGTAATTTACCAAAGTACCTATAAGATGTGTTAAAAAAGAACTTTCCATCTGTTATACCAGGGCTTCCCAACCTATTTTTGATACGAGGTTGCTCTTTTTATTTTTTTCCTACAGGGAAACGTACTATTAATTCTTTTTTTTTTGATCGTGTTACTTGGTTTTGTTCCCTTATGCTAAAATATCTGGGGCCCCCATCCTGAATTTCACTCTCTGCTGGTTGGGAAGCCCTGAATCCCACTGAAAATGTAACAGGGTTTTTATTTCCCTTTTTTTTTTTTTTTGGTACAGTGCATTACATCTGTTTATATGGGACTTGTTTAATACCAAATGGTACTCGGGGGGGTCATTGGACACCAGTTTGACCAGCTTTTGAGAGTTAACAATTAGGAGGAGTTTGTTCCCTATGTAAGATGTCATAATGCAAATTTAAGTAGCCTCAATAAAATGCATGAAATGTTCATTTTGTGCTGGATCCTCACTCCTTGGGCTGATTCTTCTTCTGGTGGGGACGCGCTGGAAGAGACGCTGGTGGAGGTGGTAGGAATTCCTTCCCTCCAGCCTCCTTTTCCCATGAGGTTGGGCAGAAAGGATGGGAATGGGATGGAGCCAACTGCTCAAAAATTTATTGCTCCTTAATACATAAAGCCATAAATCTCACCGTGTCCCAGGCTTCTGGAGATCTCCCCGTGGATGAAGCAGAGGCTGCGAGTTTCAAGTGGTTGCCGTGACTTTTAGGGGACGTGTCAGCGCTGGCAGGGCCAAATCTTCCCTAGAAATACACTAGGAGAAAGAAATAACACTCAGGAGAGGCTCACACAGATGGCTAAAAGCTTCGTCCTAAAATTAGTGGCTGGTGTACGTGCAAATAGTTCCGTGAGTGGGAAGGAAATATTTAGGGCGTGGGAAGTGTCTTATCAGCGCTTCCCTCACCTCAGCTCCGTTCCTCCAGGAGGAACCAGGAGCCGTCCCGAGAGGGGGGTGCTGACATCAGGCC